AATTTGAAAAGGAAAGTGGTCATCGGAGCAGAGACTTAGCATTAAAGTGGGATTATGCTATACCAATTTTCCTGAAATTTGCTTTGTTCTTTTAACCATAGCTTTTGGTCAAAGTACTGGGGTCCACAAAGCTCTCCAAATCACCTCACAACACCCCCCCTACATGGCCCACACTGATGCTTTTTATTACACCAGAAGATAGAAAGTACCAAAAATATTTGCAAACATTGAGGAAAATTGGATGTGGGGGTAGCTAATACTACAACCCAAACCAAAGCAATGGAATAATTAAAGCTTCAGAAAAACTTTCAAACGTATTTCAGATCAAACTTCAATTGTCCTGTTCATAGTTCAACTTTTTTATTTTAATTTCCTACCTACTCATAGTCAGTCTGAATAAACAGAGGAAAGTATTGATATGATCAAGATAGGAAATTCAAGTGGGTATAAGCCAATTCGTTTTGCCCTAATAAAGTGACCTCAGAGCCACCTTACTGCAATTATCTGTCTTGCAATTATGGAGCACAGAATCTTAAGTGGGAAAAGGTGTGTGAGATACGGCTGCTTCAGAGCAGCACAACCCCACAATGGCAAAGTTTGAGTACATGCGTTTCAGAGAAGTTCTATAGAAAAGGCAGCGCCGACCACTAAGAAGGGAACCCACCTAGATTCAAATCATGGCAACGGCTGAGCATGTTATACAGCTGACTTCAACTCTCCCAGCCCATTTCCTCATCTGTAGTGTAGGGGAATTGACAGAGATGGCATCTATTGTCCCCTTCTGCTCTAAATTGCCACCTCTTCATAGCTATTGGTTCAACTACCACCATTTACATATGCAGAAGGTATGAGGAGACCCCATTTTCATATAAGCTTGCTTCCCTTTTCTTTATGTGCATACTAATGGTAATACTTCATTAAAAATGGAGCAAACCTGTGTCCAAAGTCGCAAATCAGCCAAGGACGCAGAAGAGCATTTTTTTTTGAAGGGCAATTGAATTTGATCAGTACACACTGTATGAATGTATGAAATTTCACACTGAATCCCATTAATATATACAATTAATATGTGTAAATAACAAATTTTAAGGAGCATTTTTTGTGTTTTCTTAACAGCTGGCTGGGCTAGGTTTTCCTATAACATGATCCTGAAACTCACCAAGACTTCAGCTCAAAAAGCCAGAACTTTCTTGGGGTTCATGTTCAGAGGATGCAATATTATTACTATTTCCTGAGTTTCAATATGACTAAATTATTCCAAGTGGTTATCTGTCTCTTTGAAGCCTTAATTAGTCTCAGAAAGAGAATTGATTCGATTTCTCCTTTCACCACTCCAGTCTACGGATATTTCCCCTGGGAATCAATGGCAAAAGGATGAAGGGAAAAGCAGATATTCCAGCCTTGACTCTCCCTCCCCATTTGCCAGCAACTTCTCTTCAGAGCCATGGCTAGAAGGTACAAAATAAGCATATGAAATGAGCTATGAACCCATAGCTATGAAGTGGTGGCAATTTAGAGCAAATTAAAGAAAAACACATACAGCATGATGGCAAAGCCAAGCAACAACACCATTAACAAATCTCTATATATGTGTATGATTGGCTGTGTTTGTTGGCATTTCCATTCTCTCCACAGGAAAGGAAACATAAAGGGCCCTTAAACACTGTCACGCATTTAGGAGAAATGAAAATTTAAGTATTTGGAAATACTCTGTTCAACCAATCAGATTTACAAAGATTCCAAATTCTGGTCTTGCACCCTATTGGCAAGGCTGTGTGAAAACAGGCCCATTTTGGAGACAGTACAGTATAAACTGGCACAAACTCTGTAGAGGCCAATTTAGCAATATCTTTTTGAAATGCAAAGTATATAATTTAGACCCAGCAAGTCCATTTCTGTGAATTATACTACATGTGAAATCTACAAATACATGGTTGCAATAGCATAAAATTGGAAACAGCATAAAATATTTATTAATAGACATGTTAATTATGTAATATTCATACAATGTAATACTAGGCAACTCCACAAAGAAGGATGCAGAAACTCTATGTACTGCTTTGTGTTAAAATCAAGTGGGATAAGAATATATAACTGTATTTACATAGAGAAACTCTAAAAGGATACCCAAGAAACTAATAAAATTAATTACCTGTGAGAATTAAGGGACAGGCATGGGAGAAAAACTTGTCACTGTATAGCTTTTTGTATTTTTAGGTTTTAGAACTTATAAATGTATTCCCTATTCAAAATTTCTTTTAAAAATGAATGTTGTCTGTTAAAAACTCAGTCTAAAACTGGTAACTCAGTTGATAAATGTTTAATGTTTATGCTAGTTTGAGTGTTTTGACAATATTATATTTTACTTCTTATAAATATGGGAAGATAGACTAGTCTCATTTATTCAATTTAATTTAGTTCTTGTACACTACTGCCACCTAGTAGCAACTTCTTGAATTGCAAGCACAGTTAATTTTTTTTTTCCTGAAGTGAACAAAACACTTTAGCAAGCAAATATTATGAAGTTTATACCTATAAAGGGATAGTTAATGCCACAGGTAATGTCACCTTATTAACTGGTTTTCTTTTTACAGATGGTAAGACAAATCAGGATGAGTAATAAAGAATAAAAGAGTAGCAGGAAATGTTGCCTGATTCCTAGTATTGACAGATTTTTCATTTTAGTACACCCACAAAGCATGATACTTTTGTTCAGCTTTTATATTAAATGCAGAAATAACAATGCATGCAATGTGAATATACCACAGAGTCCACAGAGCCGCTCTCAAAATACAAAGTAAGATAAGATTTTCACAGCATAACACTGTTTTTTTTTCCCCCTTAAACGTTCAAATTGAATGAACCAACACGGTTGTGTTGAAGAAGAAATTAAGAAAAAGTTCAAGAAAAGGGCACTGTTAAGTCAACTTGCCTTGACATTGGGTTGGTGAGGGAGTGCCTGGGCGAGCATGTGCAGAGGGCAGAGGGAAAGGAGAGCTCGCAAAGGGGAAAATCATACCACTGGAATCTTCACTTTCTGACAGCCTAGGGGTTTCTCTGCCTTGTAGAAGAGTCTATCATTTTCTCAAAACTAAATTACTTTTCCTTTAAAGCCATGTGCCCCCAAATCAAGTGCTGCCAATCAAGACTTAGAACCTTGGCCTGGCCAATAGTGGATTGAATGGGAAAACAACTCTTTTTCTGCACTTAGGAGCCTTGTGGCTGCTCTGTGCTCTGGGTATGGTCTCTGAGACATGGACTTGGCCTATGTACAGAGCCCGCATTCTAATAGCTCCAATGTGGAGCCTCTGCCGGCTGGAGAGGCACGTAGGCTGGCTTGCCCGACTTTGGAGCTACCCTCCAAACAATACCAGTGGAAAAGAACAACTGGTGCCCAGATTCCCCCACCTGTCATCCTCAGCGAAATAATATCACAGCCTCCTGGGTGAGAGATGGTGTTGTGCCCACAGATCAGCTCACTCTTGGGCTGACCTTCTGCCTGGCAGAGAGTAAATACTGGTTTCACACAAGTGATTCCAGCAACAGGCTAAGACAAGTGGCATGTGCCAAGAATGGCCTTATTCTTGTCCTGCTTGCCAGGCAAAGGAGGGTGGTGCTTCAGTATCCAAATTTTTCCCTGGGCTGTTTTCACTATTAACATAAGCAGGTGTTCCCTTCGGTGACTTCTTTCAACAAATATTTATTTAACACATATTCATCGAGCACTTATTAAGTGTCTCCTTTTGCTCTAAGAGACAGAAGATAAAGGTCAGGGGGTCTGGTGGTGTAGCACATGCCAAAGCCCTGGGTTCAATCCCCAGCACTTAAAAAAAAAAGCCAGAAGCTGTTGTGCACACCTATAATTCCAGCTACTCAGGAGACTGAGGCAGGAGGATCACAAGTTCAAGACCAACCTCAGTAACTTAGTGAGACTTGCCTCAAATTTAAAAAAAAATACAAAAGGGCTGGTGCTGGGCGGGATGGTACACGCCTATAATCCCAGCAGCTTGGGAGGCTGAGGCAGGAGGATCACAAGTTCAAAGCCAGCCTCAGCAATTTAGTGAGGCCCTAAGCAACTCAGTGAGACCCTCCTCTAAATAAAATACAAAACAGGGCTGGGGATGTGTCTCAGTGGTAAAGCACCCCTGGATTCAATCCCTGGTATCAAAAAAAAAAAAAAGGTGGGCTGGGGATGTAGCTCAGTGGTAGCACCCCTAGGATCAACAAAAAATAACAATAAATAAATAAATAAAAATTTAGAGGACTGGGGTTATAGCTCAGTGGTAGAGGACTTGCCTAGCATGTGTGAGGCACTGGGTTCAATCCTCAGCACCACATAAAAATAAATTTTAAAAAATTAGAAAGAGATCAGGGGTCAGGGGAAAGAATAGGTCCTATCCTAAATCTCTCTTCTAGCTCACTGCAGCTACAAGCAGAATATTGGCCTGTGTTTTCCTGGGTAATTTTTTGGGATACATTGATATGTAATTCATATCTTTTACATCTAATTCATATTGACATGCATTGCATCATTTCTAAAAGGATCAAGAAAAGCAGATAAAATATAACAACTTTGGAATGGAGCCCATGAATCAGACAGAATTATTTGTTATTTACTGTAATTTTTTAAAATCATGGTACGAGCATGAATAAGATAAAGATTGCAGAACCCAGAGCCTCTCTCAAAGAAATTGCCAAAAAAAAAAAAAATCAAAGATGTGTAGCTGTGAAAGAAATCTTGCCACTAGCTAACACTTCACACAACAATTGGAAAAGCAAGAAACTCTAGGTCTAATTCAGAGAGTGTGAAGTGCTAAGTAGGCCCTTCCCAGGAACCCAAAGAATTCCAATGGGATCTAGTCAACTAGATGCCTTGGAGAACAAGTCAGATGCTTCTTCCCAAGGCACTTAATTTATAAACTGTAAACAGCATTTTGGATTTTATAAAGCATCCCGTGTGCTCAATGAATGGTTTTTTTAATATTATTTCTATTTGACAGCACATGAGTGGCAGCCAAGAAGTCAATCCTAGGCTGACCCAGAGGCAGTGTTCTGACTGGAAAAGCTGCCAGGCCCCCAGCCTACCAACTCCAGGGATCTCCAAGGATGGGCAGCCACAAGGTCATTGGGGAGAGAGCAGCTCCTGCCCTTTTCATTGCACTGCATGGATTCTACAGTGGGAGGAAATGGCTGCCCCCATGATGCTACCTCAGGAGAGAGAAGAAAACACCCTTGTGATTAAACAATAGACCTCCAGTCTGTGATTGGGCTCTGCCTTCTCCCAACCTGCTTGACTAGCCAGCTGTGGCCAAGCTCAGCAGTGGGGTGGGGGATGGGGTGGGAGGGTGATGGAGGAAGAACAGAGATGGGAAAAGCAAAAGAAAAGGAGGAATATAGCCAGAGGCAATAAATCACAATCCTGGGGAAGATAAGGGTACTCAAACAAAGTTCTGGGAAAAGAAATAATTTGGGGGGACTGAGCCAACAATCAAGTGGCCCCACCTGTGTGTGTGTCCTTGACTTGAATAGTTTCACTGTCTGGGGAGGGATGCAGTGGGAGGACTTGACCTTGAGCCTGACCAAACCTAAAACCCTGGCTTTCAGACACTGTCAGGAAATCCAAAGGAAGCTCTCTGTTGTTATCCAAACTCCCATTTACCTGCATCTTCCTGTTTCTCTCCCATACACAGTGCTAGTTGTTAAAGTGCTAAGTCTCAGTATTTTACACTTATTCCTCAGAAATATTGAATAATAATTGCACTGCATTCAAAAACCTACAGAGCATTTAACTATTGCCCAATTGAATGAAAGGAAGGCTCAACTGAAGGTCCTAGAGCTCTGAGTCCTGCCCTCCCATCTTTGGCTGTGTGATCTTGAACAAGTCATTTGTCTTCCTTACCTACAAAATGAATGGATTGGTTTAGAGGCTTTACAGCTCTATGCATGTCCAACCATCTCTAAATCTACCCAAGCTTCTCAGAGTTACAGTACTGCTCTGAGGCTGCATAGTCCCCAGAAGCAATCTTACAGCAATACTTCCTTTCTTACTCAAGAAGTTAATAACTACTGAAGAATCTAAACAACTTCCAGTATGTTGCCTGAGCCAACACTGAAGGCTGAGCTATAAAAATTTGCCCCTTGACAAGGTCCTATGGGTAGCCTGAAATAAAAATAGGCTTTAATAACCAATTGATTCAGGATTTGTGATGTACTAAATGTAGTTTATAAATTAACCATATCCTGTTAATAATAGGGTACACTTAGTTATGATATTTAATCTGTTTTTATTTTCCTTAAAGCTACCTTAAAATTTGAGACATTTCTCTCCATTCTCCCCCAAAGTGTAAATGAGGAAGACAGGGGGTTAAAAGTAATCAATCATGCTAGGATTAAACTTCCTTCATTGATAATGATCATGATATAGGATGAGTTTAGCCTGAATGTGCTTTTCTTATGAGTGATCATTGTTCCTAAACTGAACTTTAGCCTCAGATCCTTAGGCTCTAGCAGGGCCATATGTGATGCTCTAGTTCAGGATGGGAGAATAAAATTGGTCAGGAGGGTTTATCTTTTCTGCAGATACCTTAAGAAGGTCCCAGTAGTTAACAGCGAGGTACTCTTCTTGGTAAAGTAGCATAGAACATTCCTTCTCTCTGCTAAGGGAAGAAATTTCCTGAATCCCTGGGCTGGGACTGGGATCTAAAAGAACTGACTATTGGATATGGCTCTTGATTCTTCTACGAGGCATCTGTGAGCTTCTATTTTTTTCTATGGAAAGGCTCATTCTATGTTCTTAACAGGCAACATAACTAATTGAGACTTTTAGAGTATATACCCTGCATGAATTGGAAATGACCAGGTCTTATTACCCCAGTGTCAGGAAGCACTTTTCTGTTGAAGTCTTTTCCTCCTGGGATTTAGATTATTTATGTAATCTAGCCACCTGACTATAAGCTGTGACTGATATGGTGATGAGCTGTCAGAAAATACTGAGGGTTGGCCTTTCTATGGTGCCACAAATCACCAGTAGCTCTAAACACAGAGTCCCCTTCCATCCTTTCAACCATATGAAATAAAAATAGGGAGAATGGAAGCCACCACAGTAACAACAGAGAAGGAAAAAAGATTATTTTTGAAGTCCCAAATCTGCCATTGCTTTTACAATTTTTTTAAAATGATACAATTTCAAAAAGGGAAAGTTCCCTTCATTTTACCCACTCCCTCCCAGGAAGCCAGGGCTGGGGGTGGTCTCACATGAGGAATGAAATACTATCTACTGATCACCTTGCATAAGACTTTTTGTAAATAAAGCAGGAGAGCTCTGAGATATTCAACCCAGAGGACTCAGTCCTGCCAAAATGCATGAAGATACACCTTTCTTGTGGAAAAGAAAAGATGGCCAGGTATTCTGGGGACCATTTTGATGAAATAGCTCTACACTTGCTCTGCCACTGGACTACTGGCTTTGATCTGGCCTTAGAGAAAAGAGGTGACCAATGTTAGCTCAGGGTTCAGGCTCCCTTTTACTCTGGAGCCAAATGAGTGTGTTTGCTTTTCTTCAAAGTGTTTAGCAAAGTGTTTCCAAAGCTGCTTTTGAATCTACTCACCTGCAACGGTTTTGGAATGGTGGTAGTGATCTCACCTAATAGCTGTAGTGCCCTTAGTTAGGACGGCATAAACAATAGGAGCAGTTCAATCTTTCCAAGCCCTATTCAAGTTGCCTTTTCTGCATGATGGTGGGATTTGAATACTGAATTTAACCATATCTTAGTCCAGATCCACAGTCCAGAACACTATGCAAAAGAGATAAGGCTAACATAAAAGTCACACAAAAATATTGCTGATCACCCTGACTTTGTTGGGCTGTTGGTTTTCTGTTTGTATTTTGTTTTGCTTAAACCATGCATACTACAGTTACATCATTTTTTTTTTTGTACTAGGGATTTAACTCAGAGGCACTCAACCACTGAGCCACATCCCCAGCCCTCTTTTATTAATTTCTAAATTTTTGAGACAGGGTCTCACCAAGTTGCTTAGGGCCTTGCTAAATTGCTGAGGCTGACCTCACACTTGTGATCCTCCTGCCTCAAACTCCCAAGCCATTGGGATTACAGGTGAGCACTAGCTGGCCAGCTACATCTTTTGATTGCCAGCTGCTCTGTAATAATCCTATTCTGCTTTTAGATCCAGAACCTCAAAATTTAAAAAAAAACTGAACTAATTATTTTATTATTTATTATATTTTTATTATTTATTTTAATTTAAATTATATTACTCTGAAGAAGAGTAATTCTCCACAACTTAATGGGGAGGGGTGGGGATCATAGAAATGTATCAAGCCCTAAAATATCTCTTTGTATTTTAAAGAAAAATTGGACTTCGATTAAGAACTTTAGTTCTTTGATTCTTCACATCCATGTTGGGAATGTGTGTACCTACATATTACTTAGAGTTGAATATGAGGGGTGTTTTTTCACTTGAGAAGTTGGCCTCCTTTTCAGGTACAGAAGACAACTTCAAATCCCTTCCTGGGAGGGAGTGGGTGAAATGAAGGGAAAGTTTCCTTTCTGAAACTGGTGCTATTTGAAAAAAAAAAATTGAAAGGGCAGTTGCAGATTTTGAACATCAAAAATAATCCTTCCTCCTTGTCTTTTGTTAAATCTCCCATGACCTGCTGTCTTCTTACTTTTATTGCCTATGGATGAAAGGATGGAGGGAGACTCCATGTTAGGGCTATTGTCAGTTTGTGGCACAGTATAAAGGTCACTGCTGAGCATTTTCTGGCAACTCATCAACTTTCTTGAATGTCTTAACCTGTTACCCTTTCATTTTTAAAGGATATTGCAATTGGTTGGGTCACAGCTTAAGAGAAAAAGTTGGGACCGAGCCAGACCTTGGAAGAGAGCAAATTGAAGAATTCTTAGCTTTTGTGAAAAAAAAAAAAAAAAAAAGACAGGGGGTGGGGGGGAGCTCTCTACTGCAGATCTTATACTCGGCTACTAGTCAATGTTCATGTCGAGATTTTGACATGAGTGTGAAATGGAGCCCGACTGGATGAATTCCTGATTATATGCACTGGGGATGTATTGCCAACTGAACTTACCCATTCTTTGAATTTTCTGAGTCAGCACTCTTTCTAACAAGAAAATGTTTGTTCCAGACTGTAAACCCCATCCAGGGTGTTAGGTTCTGACTGCTAAGAATGGGTCTAGGGAGCGTGACTGTAAGCAATATGTGCTCAACAATCAGGCTTGGAGACCCTCTAATGAAAGGGACAGCAAGCATGAATGGTACCAAGCAAGCTATTACCAGAGAGATGATAGAAAAGGAAGCTCTGCAGATGTGAGGGAGTCTGGCTTCAGCAATAGTGCCATCGGCACAATCTTCCTCAGAACCTCAGATGTGTGGGTGTGCGAATCTGCAGTGTACATCGTGCACAGCCAAGCAAGCATTCATTTCAGTCCCATCCTCCCTGCCCCGAAGCACACACGTGGGGGTTTCCGGAAGGATTCCCCACCCTTTGTTTGTTCCCAAAATGAACATAGAACTTCATGGTTGCTGATCTGATGGGTGAGGAGTGGGTACTACCAACTGGCATGTTGCCACTGGCAGGGGCAGACAGGAAAACAGGAATGCTCTTAATGTCCTCCCAAAGAAAACCTTCGATGGACAAAAGAGTGGTTGTATTTTTACCCTCTCCCTTCATGCTGCCAGGCGTCTTTAAATAGATCCTCTAGCCTAGGGACTTGTATGGAATAATTCATATTAAAACCCAAGAAGTGGCAGCAGAGGGGAGTCAGTTCTTTCTTCAATCTCTCTCTCTCTCTCTCTCTCTCTCTCTCTCTCTCTCTCTCTCTCTCTCTCTCACACACACACACACACATCTTGTCAAGCTAACAGGAAAAGACTCATTTTAATTCAGCTGTGTTAAATTT